GGACTCATAGACTTCTACACTGCTATTAGGAACTATATAGACAACAGAGATATATAAAATAAAATTCTTATCACCATCATAGTCATAATTAATTACTTCAAAAGGTATTTCTTTTTTCAACGCCAGTAGTACCCCTCCTCTTCGTGCTTTGCCAGGTTTGCGGTCTTTTCTTACAACTGTGTATCTCTCATCAATTAACTCGCCATCGAAAAAACTGTCGTTAAGCCAATGTCTCTGTGAGTGCTATAAAGTCATAATCCTCAGATAGAATATTTGTATAAAGGGTTTCTGTCTTTGTTCTCAGGCCATGTACATTTTGATAGTAATTAAGTGTTTAACTCTATTTTATTACAGTTGATATTTTCACTTACCACCTTGTAACATTCTTCACCTGAGGATCCACTTAATTTTCCAGTGGCATCCTCTTCTTCATGAAAAACTTTGAGACTAATGCTCCATTTGGCCACGCTTCTCTACGCCAAGCTTTTCTGAAGTTATTTTGGTTTATTGTTACTTTCATTGATGAATAAATTTCGGGTCTCTTGGATTGATTACCGGCATATGGGTAATATTACGTAATTTTACGTAAATTACCGGTAATTTTATATATATATAATTATCGGTTTATAACGTTCTATGTCTTCCGATTCCCGATCTCCAACCATCTCTGTCAATCCAGGCATCCTCTTCTAGGCCTCTGTCCTTCATTTCCTCGTCTACACCACTTCTCCAGCTTCTTCTTGGTCTGCCGCGTCTTCTTCTTCCCCCTGGCTTCCACTCGATTATTTGCTTGGGTATTCTTGTATCTGCCATTCTTTGTACATGTCCGAACCAAATCCGCTGTTTGTCCTTTATATCATCTATTATTGTGTGTTTTACGTCCATAATCTCCCTAATTCTCAGATTTGTTATCCTCTCCATTTTTGACCTGCCTGCCGATCTCCTCCAAAAGTCCATTTCAGTTGCTTCCAGCATTTTTGCGGTTGTGATCTTTAGTTGCCAGACTTCTGAACTATACGTGACTATGCTTTTGACTATGGTGTTGTATATTCTCGTTTTGTTAGTTTTGTTGATATTTTGATCCCACAGTACACCATTTAGTAGGGATAATGCCTTGCGTCCTTGTATATTCCTATCTTTAATTGCTTCGTCTAGGGTTCCCTCGTGTGAGATTTTCATGCCCAAATATTTGTATTCAGAACATTGTTTTATTTCTTGTCCGTTATTCAATTTCAGATTTCGTTGTTCACCTCCTATATATATATTCTGTTTTCGTTAAATTTACTTCCAAACCCCATTTCTCGTATTCCTCTATCAATTTTCGTGTCATGTACTCTAGGTCATCATAGTTCTGTGCAATTAATACTTGATCATCTGCAAAGCTTAAAGTATAAAGATTGTATTCATTGAGCGGTATTCCCATGTGTCTGCATTTGTTTTTCCACCCTTTGAGCGCTTGTTCTAAGTATATTTTAAAAAGTGTTGGTGATATGCAGCATCCCTGTTTAAGTCCTTTAGTTGCTATAAAGCCTTTACTGATTGAGTTTCCCTGTTTAATCTTGGTCTTTGCATCACTATAGAGCGTTTTTACTGCCTTTATTAGTTCTAAGTTGATATTGGTCTTTTCCAGTGCTTCCCAAAGCTTTTTCAGCGGAACACTGTCGTATGCTTTCTTTAGATCGACAAAAAGTAAATGGAGTTCTTGGTTATAGGCTAGTTTCTTTTCCATTACCTGGGTCAAACTGAATAAATGGTCTACAGTTGATCTTCCTGCTCTAAAACCGGCCTGTTCTTCTGCCTCACTATCTTTGTACTCGTTCTCTTTTCTGGCTTTTATGAGTTTTCCATACACTCTGCTCAGCGTATTTGTTACTGCAATTCCTCGGTGGTTCTCGCATTTGTTTCTGTCTCCTTTCTTATATATCGTTGTTAAATAGCTTACTTTCCACTCTTCCGGTACTTCTTGTTTATCTATGCATGTTTGAAATAGTTTTGTTAAATGTTTGTAGAGTTTATTGGTCCCACACTTTATCAGTTCTCCATATATTTCTCCTGGGCCTGGTGCCCTACCATTTTTCAAGAAGCCGCAGTGTTTTTTAACTTCTTCTTGCATAACTCGTATTGGTGATCCTGCTATTCCCTCTCTTCTTTAAACTCTGCCCGCTGTTCTGTCAGTAATTCTTCAAAGTACTCTTCCCATTGCTGGGGTGTTATTGTATTGATAATATCCTTAGTTTTTGTTTTTCTCATGTTTTTGAGTAATCTCCAACTTTCTGTGTTTCTTTTACCCCCCAGATAAGTATTAATATGCGCACAGTTTCTTTCCCATGACTCGTTCTTTTTGTGTACAATTTTATTCCGTACTCTTGCTTGTGCTTCTTTATATATTTCTTTGTCACGTGTCTTATTTGAACTTAGATACTGTTGGTATTTCTTCCTTTTATCTTCTATGTCTTTTTCTATTTCTTGATCCCACCAATAAGGTGTGGGCCTACTTCCCTTTTTTTCATATTTGCCAAGTGCTTCAAATGCTGCACTGTGAATACTGTCTTTGATATGTTGGTAATGCATTTCAAGGTTTTGGAAGCTCATACTACTCTGTAATTTTTGATCTAATCTCTTCATGTACAACCCTTTTACGCTTTGCTCTTCTAGAGATTTTAGGTTGTATTTCTCAGGCACAATATTGTCTTCTTGGGTTTTCATTCCGTTTTCTTTTGCGATGTTTCTGCCCGGGATAAAGATTTTTGTTTTTAGAAGGTAATGATCGCTACCACAGGTCGCTCCCCTATATGCTCTCACGTCCTGGAATTTTATGTTCGAGCTCTGTTTAGCGATAGTGTAGTCAATAATAGATTTTTGTTGTCTAGTTTCATTTTTCCATGTGTACCTATGTATTTCTTTATGCTGAAAGTAACCGTTTAGGATTTTTAGGTTATTTTGTTGGCATATTTCTATGAGCCTTTCTCCATTGTTATTCGTTACATTCTCTCCGAATTTTCCGATCACCTTGTCGTTGATTTTTCGTCCTGTTCGTCCGTTAAAGTCTCCCAGCAAAATTATTTCCCTTGAAGTTCCTACTTTTATGATTTCGTCACTGAGTTGTTGGTAAAATTGATCCTTTATATTAACGGGTTCGTCGTCGTTCACTCCATATATTCCCAAGATTGTTATTTTCCTTCCGAATATACATACATTTAGTTTTATTATGGTTTCGTTTACTGCTTCCCATGATGTTATATGTTTTCACCATTTTCTATGTATAAAGATCGAGACTCCTTTCTTCGCTCTGAGTTCTTTTTGAACCCCGCTAAAGAAATGATCGTACTCTCCCAGATTTTCTGAGCCCTGTCCTTTCTTTTTGGTCTCTGTGGCGACAAGCAGATCCATTTTTTGATATTTTATATCACTTCATTCAATTTTCTAGAGATTCCTTGGACGTTCCATGTACCGATACTCATTGTCCGTTTCCGTTGCCTAGTTCGTCTTCGTTTTTCAGTCCTCTTCCGAGGCTGTTGATTGGGTCTTTTAACAGTTTAATTTTTTTTCCGAGTAACGGGGAGTTAGCCCGATGCCTCAACCCCCTACCAGGAGGACCAGGTAATTTGTGATCAAGGTTGTCTTCCTCTAGCCTTTGATGATTCAACATCCAGCTACAAGGCAGCAGCTTCTTTGCCAGTTCACTTCCAACTTGATGTTAATTGATTCTGGTGGCTACAGACGGTATGGCTGGCCGAGCGTACCATAGCAGGGGGTTTAAAAGAATATATGGTCTCAGGCAGCAATAAAAGTGTACCCCTGGTCTGACCTGACCGGTAATTTTACCGTGAGTAATTTTCCCTTGCAACTAGCAGTACCAAAATACATTATTGTTTGGGGAACCTCACTTGACTTGCAAATTACTTTGGGGGTAGTTTAAGGGGGCAAAACTAATAATTGCGAATTGCGATTTGTCGAAAAAAGGGTTTTTGTGAAATGTAGATACTATCATCATTTGAAAGGTAAAAATAACGTCTCAATGGTCTCATCTCACAAAATATGTCGGGAAAAAGTCGTCAAATTCACGTCAACTTGGGTTGTAATTTTGAGGAGTAAAATCAAAATCACATATCACAATAATAATTATAGGTACTCAGGTAGGTACTCACTAATTTCGAGTTTTAATTCTGAATCAAGTTGGAATTACCTATTAATGTTACGTATGAATTATAAAGTTTTCCTTTTGTGGCCCCTATAAAAATTGCAGTTGATAACGTTCTAGCAAATGGTAGGTAGGCTACCTGAGTGGGATTGTATTAGATAGAAATTGAACCAAAACTTGAAGATGAATAAACCGGGCCTAGTCTATACCGAGGTCTATACATTTCAAATACCAAAAGGTACAATAAAATTATAAATAATAGGACTCACTCACCTATTTGGAGCTTGTAGAGGATGTTGGCTTCTTGCAAGGACCACCAAATAAAATTGTCTCAACATTTTGGTGAAAACACAACGTTAAAGTTTCATTGATAGAAAACCACTTTAGGATTTTCAATAGACTCATTTTTACCACAAATTTTCAATTAATAAGGTCACTGAATCTTATTTATCGCGAGTAAAATGGACTCGGAAGAACACGAAACTTCTAAACAACAAAGAGATCCGCCATTTTGTCAACAAAAACAATTGAATCACAGTCGATAATCCTGGGAAGGAATTCTTCGACTACAAAAACACAGATGGCGCTGAATAAATTAGATTTTTCCAAGTCGATTTTAATTACTGTTAAGGATAAAAATTAATTGTTTATGTTAATAAATTAATTGATTTATAATTAGGCATTCAATAATAATTTTATTTTCATCATCAAAAAGAATCGTTTTTTGGTTCTAGATTTTTCTATGCATTCTTTTCGCAACTAGCAAACTAAGCATATTATTCACTATCTTTGTCTTATTCATGGCAATTATATATCGTTCTTTTTTTACCGATCCAGCACTTTATTTTTTGACTTTGACAAGAATGACAAGTAAGTGGAAAGGGAAGACGTCAAATAAATAAATAATAATTTTTTGCACTCCTTGTGTTAAATAAAAGTGCTAATTCCTCAATAAAAATCATGAGCATGTCGCTTTTTGGCTCTCTAATGGGCAACATGGACGACGATCCCCTTTTTGGGTAAGTAAATTCCACCCAAACATACCATCCTATAAAAGCAAAACCATAAACATAAAACCCAATTGAAATTAAAATGTTATTGCCCTTTTCGGCCTAAATCTACCTCACACGATGCACCACTTTCTATTTAATTATTCCACAGTATTGTACCAATCCTAAATCAACAAATTAACATTGTTTGGTATTGTACCATTAAAAGAGGACTCCTAAATTATTGTCCAATCTAGCTCTGCAATGCGTCAAATGCGCACCATGGACAACATGATGAATTCAATTTTCCAAGACTCATTCGGCATGGGCAACATGTTCAGGGACTTTGAAAACACCCGTGCCAGTATGCATCACTCTCTCATGTCCCCTTTTGGGATGCCCATGATGCAAAACTTCAACAGGCTCATGAGCAGCTCGATGGATTCCATGTCGCCAATGATGCCCACTATGGGCAACTATGGTAATTACAGTAGCTCAAGCACTGTGATCAGTATGACTTCGGGGCCTGATGGCAGGCCTCAGCAAGTTTATAAAGCAACTTCCAGCACCAAAGTTGCCCCTGGGGGAATTAAGGAAACTCAAAGAACTGTTACTGATTCTGTTACTGGGACTAAGAAAATGGCTATTGGGCATCACATTGGTGATAGAGCTCATATAATTGAAAAGGAGCAAAATATGCATACTGGGGACCGTGAAGAACGTCAGGATTTTATTAATTTGGATGAAGTAATGCTTGAGTTGATTCATTGGTTTTTATAGTAATGATTGTTTTTTTTAATTAAGGATGAGGCTGACGATTTCAATAAGGAGTGGCAAACTAAGACCAGATGTATATCAGAAATTCCTAGGATAACTTCTTCTTCTGCCAGAAATCGTCACTCTTATGGCGGATATCCTGCTGTTCCAGCCATTACTGCAGGCAGCAGGTAATAATTGATTGTAGTATAAAATTAGTTTGCTTGTATATTCTTGCACAATTATCTTTGCTTTGTCTGTATGTATAAATATTAAATTGTTGTGCATGCAATATAGCCGCCGTCATAGAGATAGAATCAGCCCCTCTGTAGTGTCACCAAGGAAAGGCATTCGATCAGCTAAAACTAAATTGTTGGCTCTACCTGCTCCAAATGAACCAACAACCTCTTCTAGGTAGGTTTCTTTTCACAACTGTGACTGTTTTTATATGTTTACCTAACATGCTTAATTTTATTGGACTAACTTATTTTTTTCCTGGCCAAGGTGGAACTGTGTAAATTTATTGATTTTCATAGGATTTTGCTAATGTATATTTACATGAACAATTTTTTGTGCTTCTAACTATATAAAGCCAAATATTTTATGCTTTTGTATGTATTTATGTACAGTTTTGATTTGTTATATTAAATACATAATCTCTCACTTGAAATAAAAAAGACATTAAAAGAATTATTCAGATGAAAATTATTGTATTGAGCTGGGTTAGCAAAAAACCAGGTTTTTGAAAATTTCTTTTGAGTTATTGTGATAGTTGATGGTTTTTGTGTTATTTTTAGGGTTTTTTGTGTTTACTTAGCTAGACAATTGTAAATTTGTTTCAACAGTTTTATAACTAAATTTCAGCATCAAATCTCAGAATAATTTAATGTATGAAGTTTGGGAAATCCCCATCATTTGGATACAAAATCTCAACATATTTTTTTTTTTTTTTTAAATTTTATCATTTTCGAGGGGTCAACCACTCTGTGAAAATTTGTACACGTATTGCGAAAATGTCGGTATTTCGTAAGTATTTCGCGAAATTCAAAGTATTTCAGTGGTGGTAATTCGAACCTAGTTTTTTGTGGTATTGCCGTACTTCGAAATATTTGGAGGTAATTCAAAGTATTTCGAGGTAATTCGAAGTATTTTGCGGTAAGCCGAGGTAGGTATTACGAGCTATTTGAAAGTAGTTTTTATTTATTTACCGAAAACAATTAATTCTTTATCACCTAAAATTGGAATATTATAGAATGAAAATTATAGTCCATATTTGAACAAGCTAAATATGTTGACATAATTTGGAGCTACTGCAGAGTAATTGAAACAAATGGAAAGATATACTACCTGATACCTGATATGTACCTTGGCCAAACATAAAACTGGTGCGCATTTTCCTATTGTGCTGTATTGTGTAAATCGACCTTTTTTTATCATCCCAACAATGACAAGAAGAGTCAAGTCAGTGTCATATTTAAACCAATCATAACATAAAAACATGTTGCATTTACTTTTGTTCAACTTTGACATTGACAAAACTGTCTAGCCTATGTTTTTCAGAAGATACTTTTTGTTGTTAAGCCTGACTCACACTAGGCAAATTTAAAATATATATTTTGCCTATACCAGTTTTATGTTTGGCCAAGTGTATAAGTAATCAACTAACCAATGTCAGTTAGTTAATAGTACAGGGTCATTCAACGAGGACTGAACAGGGAATTATTTTTGACTTTCCCTGTATTTTTGAGAAAATTCAATATAGCCATTTGGAACATTTTTTTTCTAGGGAACTCAAAAATGGTATCAAAAAATCATTTGAACCAAAAACCAAAGAATTACACCCATGGATGGGCCGTTTTTTAAATGGAACACCCTGTTTTTTGTATGATTTTTGGAGAAGTCTCATTTTTTTTACATCTATCTGTTGAAAATATTTGATGTTCCGATAGCTGTTTTTATTTTATTTTAATATTTTATTCTTATTAATTTTGGTTTAACCTGTTTAATACATGGCAACAAATTTCAAAGATTTCATCACCTATGAACCAATCAAATCCAACAGGTTTATCTAAAATAATTATGCATAAAACATTAGAATAAAATAAAAACAGCTATCGGAATGTCAAATATGTTCCACAGCCTAGACGTAAAAAATGAGACTTTTCCAAAAACCATACAAAAAACACGGTGTTCTATTTAAGAAAGAATTCATCCATGGCGTAATTCTTTGGTTTTTGGTTCAAACGATTTTTTGGTACCATTTTTGAATTCTCCAGAGAAAAATATTCCAATTGGCTATTTTGGATTTTCTCAAAAATACAGGGAAAGTCGAAAATTGCCCCTGTTCAGTCCTCGTTGGATGACTATCCATCATATCAAAAGACACAAAAATCCGAGCAAAAATTCTTCACTGCGATCCACAAGAATACTTAAAAGTTATCAACGAGAATTTTTTTAGAAGTATTTCGGGACTTTGCGCGGTAGTTCGAGGGTATTTCGCGTACTTCGACGGTAATTCTATGGTATTTTACATACTTCGACGGGAATACCTAGTATTTCGAGGTACTTCACGGTATTTCTAGGTACTTCGAAGTATTTCGGAGGTAATTCGGACCAAGTGTACACGTATTTCGGGAAGTAGTTGACCCCTCGATCATTTTATTACTAAGGTAGCTACCCGAGTAGCTACCTTATGATTTAGATTTCTGAAAACTTTGTAAGATCATAACTTTTTTTTCTATCAGAGATAGAAAGCTGAAAATTTCAGTGATTCTTATCCTATTAGAGGACTACAATTCCTGAAAATTTCAGCCCATTTGAACCTATAGTTTCTGAAATAAAATCGTGTTAAGCAATTTGGGGTAAATTATCCATTTTTCAATTTCTTTGAGTGCCTTTTTTCATAGATTTGGGCTTCAAATCTGAAATTAATTTAGTGTATGGAGTTTGGGGGGTTCCCAATTATCATTTAGACACAAAATCTCAACATACGAAAATTTGAAATTTTATCATTTCAGCACTAAGGTGATTTAAATCTCTGAAAACTTTGAAAGACCATAACTTTTTTTCTATCAGAGATACCTAGAAAGCTGAAATTTTCAGCGGTTCTTATCCCATTAGAGGAGTTCAATCCCTGAAAATTTCAGCTCATTTGGACTTGAAATTTCTAAAACAAAATCGCGTTAAGCAATTTGGGTAAATTATCAATTTTCCAATTTCTCTGAGTCCCTTTTTTCATAGATTTCGGCTTCAAATCTGAGAATAATTTAGTGTATAGAGTTTGGGGGGTTCCCAATGATCATTTAGACACAAAATGTCAACATAAAAAAATTTGAAATTTTCGAGGAAATTTTATCATTTTAGTAGATAAGTACCTTATAATTTAAATTTCTGAAAAATTTTAAAAAACAATATATTTTTTTTCTATTGGAGATAGAAAGCTGAAATTTTCAGCGATGCTCATCCTATAAGAAGACTACACTCCCTGAAAATATCAGCTCATTTGGACTTATAGTTTCTGAAATAAAATTGCGTTAAGTTAAGGTTTCTGGCCATGGATTCTGAAAATTTAGCTAAAACTGTACAACTTTTGTATTTACACCTTTCTTCTACCTGTAAAGTTAAAGGCTGTAGGTGGGGTGTCAATATATAAAAAAACACCCTGTACAGCTGAATTCTTCCAGAAAAGTGTGAAAATTATATTTGAAAGGTACTCGCATTAAAATTCTATTCCCGGCTCTTGTAAATTCAAAATTCTTGACCATTCTAGATCAAAATATTAAAAATCCCAATCTTAACTCCCCTAAAGTTTTGAGTACAAGAGTCAAACCAATACAATTCTGATATTTGATCATTCTACGGCTGAAATTTAACAATAAGAGCATGAAAATTCTATTTTCAAGTCTCTTAAAGCAGAAATTGAACTACAGAAGTCTAATTTCTGACCATTTTGGAGTTGAAAACTCAATTATTTGCTTTAGGAGACTTAAAAATTGTTTTAATATTTGTAACATTTTAAAAGAAAAATATATGATCTTGCAGATTAACTCGAAGTAAATAAGCTTACCTGTATTAGAGGTCAAGTAAGTAAAAAGCTAAATTAAAAACGGGTTTGTTTGTATAAAGACTTTGACCAAAAGCTGTTTTTGTTATGCCAGTTTTGCATGCTTTATTTGTTCCTATATTCAACCACAAATTACTTGTAACAAAATCATTTTTCAGCTCTCAAAGGACCCCGTACAGCGCTCCTGGCATTGACAAACCGAGAAAATCCAAGAACGTCAAAATCGTATCTGGCGCACATCCAGAAAAGTAGGCGTTTGATTCTCTTCAAGTATTTTTACAACATTTCTTCAGTTTTAATATTAAAATTCGTTTAATTTAGGTTTCATTCCTTTGCGGTAGTTTCGTGTGTTTAGCTAAATAACATTGAGGCAGTATGATTCAATTTAATTTTTTTTTTTTTATCTTTAGTACTGCCCAAAGTGTTTATTTACTTATTAAGTGGTATTGAGTAATTTAGGAATTAAGAATAATAGGCTTAGATTGTATGTAGTTAAAATGAGTTTAATTTCAAATACCCATTTTGATACACATAATTATAATAAAAGTAAAATCATTTTAGTTATCAGAATAATATCCATTGTTAATGTTTAAATTTATTTTTTTTTCTGTAAAAAAAAAATAAGTGCTTATATTTTAGTGTGTTGTGATTTTTCAAATTATTATTGTCGTAAAAGTCCAAATATAAAACGGATTAAAAATTTGTTGTTTTTGTTATTTAAAAATCACATTCTTTTTCCCAAACTAGTTCCAGTAATTCTGATTTCACACAGTTCAAGCCTTCTAGGCGCTTGCCTGACTTGACATTCATAAATGTTGGTAATACTTTTAGCTGAAGGTTCTTGTCTTGTCTATAAAACAGGTTTTTTTTAAAATTTAGATTTTATTTTAAACTTCATTCACCTAAAAGGATTGTCTGGATCTTCCCATTCATCTTGACTGCCAACATGTATTACCACAAAAACACTGTTGTGAAGTTCTTCAACACGTTTTTCAAGAACTTCTTGTACCTATATAATAGTTAATTTGTATATTCTCATATATTATAATATAAACTTACTTCAGTGCAAATTGGACTCCAAGAATAACCACTAATGGGGGAGTCTGTACTTGTAAAAAGAAAATAAATAATTTTCGATTCGTCCATATAGTGTAAATATTCCAAATAATCTTGGTAGTTGGTTAAGTTGGACTTTTTGCTTGCATATTTTTGATTGCTCGACTTTCCAGTTTGTGATGAAAATCCAGAGCGAGTATCAGAACTGAACTGATCCATTTTAATGGATATTAATTTGCAAAAAAAAAAAATTGTCAAAAGACTGTCAGAATTATGCTTATAGTTTGTGTTATGTTATAGACAATCTCTTCAAACTTCTCGAAAGATTCTCAGACATTTTTCACCGGGACGGAGACAAATTAACTTTTACAAATAAAATAGAACACGTCATCAAAACCTCCGATGAAATACCCGCACATTCGAAAACATACCGTCATCCATTCGTCCATAAAGAAGAGGTTCAAAGGCAAATAAACAAAATGTTAGATGAAGGAATAATCCGACAGAGCCAAAGTCCATGGAGCAGTCCTATATGGGTTGTCCCCAGAAAACTAGATTCCAGTGGCAAACAAAAATGGAAAATATGCGTAGACTATAGAGGCTGTAACCAAAAAACTATAGATGATCACTATATACTGCCAAATATTAAAGATACTTTGGATAGGTTAGGAAGATGCATTTATTTTTGTACCATAGATTTATCTTTGGGATTTCACCTGGATCTATTGAAATAACAGCCTTCAATGTAGAGAATGGGTATTATGAGTATCTGAGAATGCCTTTTGGATTAAAAAACGCGCCTGCAACGTTCCAGCGCATCATGCATGGACAATATTCCACGGGACTTACAAGGAAAAATATGCCTTATGTGTATGGATGATATCATCATTTTTTCATCAAGCCTGGGAGAACATATCAAAAACCTGTAACAGGTATTTGAAAAATTACAGGAGTCAAGGTTAAATTGACAAACATGTGATCACAAAAGATGGAATAGGGAACTTGACTCAATTTTTCTTATTGCTGATTTCATTAGTCAATGGTACTGCCTACTGCCTATAACTTCCAGTACCATTTGTGCCCGAGACTAGGGCAAAAATGTCTATATTTTCGCAAAAACCCTTTTTTCGATGAATTGCAATTATTAGTTTTATTCCGAGGGGGTAACTACTCCTTCAGAAATTATTAGTTTTACCCCCTTAAACCATCTCCAAAGTAATTTACAAGTCAAATGAGGTTCCCCAATGTATATTGGTACTGCCTATAACTTCCAGTACCATTTGTGCCCGAGACTAGGGTGGAAATGTCCATATTTTCACAAAAACTTTTTTTCCATGAATCGCAATTATAAGTTTTCCCTTCAGTTTTCCCCCTTAAACCGAGCCTTAAATCACCTCAAAGTTATTTGTAAATCAAATGAGGTTCTCTAAACGGTGTATATTGGGACTGCTTAGAACTTCCAGTACCATTTGTGCCCGAGACTAGGGTGGAAATGTCCATATTTTCACAAAACCCCTTTTGCCCCAAATTGCTTAACACGATTTTATTTCTGGAGCTATAAGTTCAAATGAGCTGAAATTTTCAGGGATCGTAGCCCTCTATTGGAACAAAGAATCGCTGAAAATCTCAGCTTTCTATCTATGATAGAAAAAAACTTAGGACCTTTCAAAGTTTTTCAAAATCTAAATCATAAAAGTAGCGAAGGGCCGGAGTTATATGCGAGCCCGAAGGGCCGGAGTTATATGCGAGCCCGAAGGGCCGGAGTTATATGCGAGCCCGAAGGGCCGGAGTAATACGAGCTCGAAGGGCTAGAGTTATTTTAATCACGGGGCCTAGTTTATAATTCTATTGGTGAGCAATAATTTAGAGCTAATTGAAAACCGGGAGTATTTAAAATGCGATTTCTAACGTCCGATCAAAGAGTCAGGAATATTCAAAAACTTTAGTTTTATCAAATTAGCTTTGGAATGTTGGTTTCCTTAAGATTTTTAGTTTTTTCAGGAAATGGTGGTTTTTGCAAACATATACTACTTTATCATTGTCTTTGTCTTACTCACTATAATCAATAAGTAAACCTTTTTAAATGTCATTTTCATTGAAATTAAACTAAAAACAAGTTGCCTATAATTTATTTGGGGAATTTTAATTAATATAATCATTATTAATTAATTATTAAATTGAATTTTAAACAAAAAAACCCTTTTAAAATGTTATTTTTGCTTTCCGAAATGAGATGTGGCAACGTTGCTTTTAGTTGGCCATTTTGAAGTGACGCCTTATAATTTTTTGCCAATTTTTCATCGAATTTTTCACTTTTCCGGAGCTTTTCAATGGAAAAAGGCAATTTAACATACGAGGCTTTGAGTTTTCTTCATTTTCTAGCAAAATTGTCCAGTTTTAAAATGACATAAATAACAAAATCCCATTTAAAATGTTTTTTTTTTTTTTGAAGTTTTGATGTACCATCGTCACCAAAAGTAACTGGGACAGCATCACATTAGCTCTTGTCCTATTATAGGAATTTTATTGTCATATATTTGTCAAACTAAGAATTGACCTTTTGTTTGGACGCCATATTGCGGTGCGCGAACATAGTTGCCAAAAGTAGAAAAAAAAATTACTAGCGTACTGTCAACATTAGAAACAAAAGTTACTGAATAAATTACATTCAAAATTTGAATTTGCCGCTCATTACGAATGTTTTTGAAAAGAAAAGCCATCAATTTTAGCTTGCATTGGGCAGAATAAAAATAATAGAATATCTACCTATTTACTTTCATCAATCAGAGAGAGAAAGTAAACAAACAAAAAGGATAGCGAGGATCAATCATTTAGTTACTTTTGTTTTTAATGTTGACAGCCCGCTAGTAATTTCTGTTTTCTTCTTTTGGCAACTATGTTCGCGCACCGCAATATGGCGTCCAAACAAAAGGTCAATTAAATGCATTGAAATGAATGACAGTAGAATTAGTCTAGGAGATTATTATGTATTATCTGTGTCCCAGATACTTTTGGTGACGATGGTACCAACTTCAAATAGGTTTTGTAATAAATGTCATTTGCCAGTTTTGACAGTCGGCAATTTTTAATTGACGTGTTTACATTTCTATTCAGTTTTTCCTCGAATTTTCCACTTTTCCAAGCCCTTTTCACTCAAGAAACCCGATTTGAAATACGAAGCTTTGAATTTGAGGCTTTGAATTTCCTACATTTTGTGCTAAAAATTCCCAGTTTTCCAATGGGGTAAGTGACAAAAACTCAAATTTCATTAAGTAGGCTTTGGAATCATGGGCGCCGGCAGCAGGGTGCCCCTGTCAGATATACATTGAAAAAATTATTTTTATTTTATTAATATTTTGTTTTTAATAGTTACTGTTTGAGAAAATTGGCGAAACGTGAAACGATGGCCCCCTCGCACTCTTTGTTCCCCGCGACATTCCTCGAGTCACTTCCGGCTCGGATCGGGTTTTTTTATTTTTATTCTGCACGCCATCAACTTGTAGAATGGCGGGAATTTCGAATTTACTTAAATTCTAGTTTATTAATATAAATTTCTTCAACTTCTACGATTTGATAGCTCGAAAAAAGTATTAAATTGCGAGAAGCTCGTGCCCCAGGAGCGGACATAACATATCATCGGGCAATTCGGTACGCCGCTCAGGGGCCCACGGTCCGAAAGGGCCCCACGATGCTGCGGAAAATTTCGAATATGTAGAAAAAAATGTCATACATGCAAATCAAATATAATAACATTTTAATAAAGCTACATTCAATAAGGACTCAATTCCTATCTTCTAAAATATCATCGACCATACCGCCCATGCCTAATAATATTCGTTTCTGTGGTTGAGAGCATCTGGCAACGCTGAGCGTGCTTCCGAAGTATTCCGAATATATCCGACCATAATTCCGAGAAACACAGACCGACCCAACCGTTCATATATTGTGATTTGATTACCACTATTTCTAAGCCGCATTTTTGATTTTCCTACTTTTTACGTGACACTCAAGGGCAGTGGCGCACCCATGGGAAGGCATCGGTCCAGCCCCCCCCCCCTAGGCCGTCCGTCCAAAACTATATTTTTCGTACAAAAAAATTTGACATCATGGCGTGGCACCCTGACACGTCAATTTTTTATTCAGATTTCTAGACACAAGCCACAACCTTTGTAGGGTCCCCACATTCCCCAAACATATTTTCTGGCTGCGCCACTGCTCAAGGGATAGGTTAGGCCTAGGAGCCCCCAAATATATTTTGCCCTGAGGGCCACTCGTCCCTTGATCCGCCACTGCCCGTGCCACTTTCCACCGAGGTGAAAACATCATATAACTTATTTAGTCACCTAGAAAAATTATTTTTTTGGAAGCTCAAAATAACCGTTTTTGGGCGTGGCAACAGGAAAAATTTTCGCGCCTCCGGCAGCTCCTGCGTCGGGCATTCACCTTCTTAAATTAGTAATTTGAACCAATATAACAAGCCACGCGCCGCCACTGCCCGTATGCACCTCCCTGAAACTAATCCTGGCGGCGCCCATATTTGGAATGTCATTTTTAGAGGTTTTTCTTTGAATTTGTCCGCTTTTCCAGGGCTGTTCTGGTCGAAAAAACCGATTTAAAGTACGAGACTTTGAGTTTTCTTCATTTTCCACCAAAAATTTCCAGTGTTTTAACGGGGTAAGTGAGAAAAACTTTAGTTTTATCAAATAGGTTTTGGAATGTCATTTACGTTGGTTTTTTTTTTGGAATTTTTATTTAAGGTTTTTGGGGTCCGGGGATCGTTTTCTATCACTTTTTTTCTCGAAATTCGCAAAATTAAAAAAAAAACTTTTTTGACGTTGACAGCTGTCAATTTTTTTTGACACAAATTTATAGTTGGCGTCGCGAAACTGCCTTGTACCGAGGTTTGGTTTTCGTAGCTTTTATAGTAGAGCGGGAAAAAAGTCGAACATGTGTCAAATTTGACAGGTGACATTTGTCAATATTGCCAAAGTGTCGTGCGCTAAAAGTTTTATCCGAACGAACCCGTTCATTGTTAATTGTTTTTTCATACTCCGGCCCTTCGGGCCGTAATCTTTGAAACAAAAAGACGTCATTTTGTATCGATTGTCAAAAAAACCCAAGGTTGAAATTTCAATTTTTTGACGTTTGTTGTATCATGAGCAGCGTTGCCATATGTTTTTATCAAATCTCGATTTATAGGTTATTTTAAACCCAATCAGTGAAATTTCTGAAAAATATTTCCTTTAAAATTCCCAAATATCCTTTGGAATCTCCAAAAATCTATTAAAATCTCAGAATTCCATAATTTAGTGGAATTTCGGTAGAATAATTATGTTATTTTGGAAAAGGAATTAGATGTGAAATTTTTGCGGAGTTTCCATAGAATTCACATTAAATTTTAATTCTTCTCGAATTACTTGAAATTTCAGTGAAATTCCGATCGAATTATACGAAATCCTAAATGAATTACATGGAGGAATTTTAAACAATTACATAAAATTACACCGAAATTCCCAACATGAAATTTCAGTTTTTACTGAATTTTAGTAATGCCGAGGAATTTTCAGCTAAAAACATGGAATTTCAGTGATATTCCGAAAAATTACCATGTAATAACATGAAATTTCAATATACGTTGATGAATTTTTAAGAAATTACTTGAAACTTCATTAATATTCCCAGAAATTCCTGGCTATTAAAAGAGAATTTCAGTGAAATTCCGAAAAATTCTTATGAAAATAAATTAAATTTTAAAAATTCCTTGAAGTTTCATTGGACTTTCGAGAAATTTTCGGTTATGAACGTGGATATTCTCATAAAATTTTAGTGAATTCTGAGAAATTTTTAAGAAATTACATGAAATTCCAAAAAAAATTATGAAAATTTTGTGGAATTCCAGGATATTTTAGTGGTAAAATTTTGAGGAATTTTAGTAAAGTTAAAAAAAAAAAATGGAATTTTGAAATTGAAATCTTAGTGGAATTCCGAGGAATTTCATGAAATCCTATACTGTGATTAGCCTCCTCACCTGTCATTCGCCCGTTTTGACATTCGCAAAAGATAATAGACATAAAAACCTACGAGCCGGTTTCTCAATAGCGAGTCACCAGTCACCTCCGGGTTGGTTTTAATTCCAGGGTAAGCGTGTCCAGTTGCTATGTTTACCCTGGAGTTATTTTTAACCCGGGGGTGACTTGCTATTGAGAAAACGGCCCTAACTTTCATACCTAATGTTTTTTTCCACCTCGTATAGCTAGAGCTGTAGTTAGGGGTCAAAATATGAGGAAACACCCTGTACAATACAGCGAAATACTGTACGTATGTCTCGGTTGGAGGTTGGAGGGTCGGTTACCACTTGAGAAAAGTGCTAAATAATTTAATTAACCAATAATACGTGATAAGAACGGTGCCACAATTACCGATTTATCGGAATACCGAGAATCTACCGAAAAAATAAAAACCATATGATTTGAGATTTCTAGGTTAATTTGCAGTAGAAATAATAATTTTCAGTGAATTCTATGATATTTAGAAGTTTCGTATAGGATTAAGTTTATTTGTTCTCTCCGTTTTATTTTGGGAAATCAAAAAGTGCCAATTTTTAGGGTTCGGTAACCTATTTTTTGCGAGGGTCCTTAGGGAGCGAGGCCGTCGGCAGCCGCCGACGTCGCCGAAGCCTAGCTACGCCACTGTCTAATAGGACAAGGCCCAGTTACAGAAAATTCAAAACAAATTTATCAATGTAATAAACAATTTCTAATAACTAAAATAATCACTGTACAAAATTACTAAAATTTAAAAACTTAAAACATCAGCCAGTTACATCCCTGAGACGTTTAGTAAATATAAAGTTTATGTTACAAAGAGAGGATAATCCAATCAAAATTGTGGCACATTCTCCAAGTGAATGTTTGATCCACCAATAGAAAGATAATCAATTATTCATTGTGGTTTTATTCTTTTCAACCCCAAATGAAATCCACCTTCCATATCAAGCAAATTATCTGAGGTCAATTTTGCTTCCTTCACAGTTTTCGAAGTCATAACAATTTCATAGTTTAACAACAAATTGAAAAGCAAAGCCTTGATTTCAGTTTCAGCAAATCTACGACCAATACACATTCTCGGGCCAAGACCAAATGCTAGGCTGCTATAAGGCACTAGGCTGTGTTTATTTTCATCAGAGAAGCGTTTCGGATCAAATTTGTCGGGATTTGGGAAATATTTTGGATCTCTTTGTATGGAGAGGATTGGCACAGTGATGTGCTGACCTTTTTTTATGTGGATAGATTCAATTGTATAGGATTTAGTGCACACTCTGTCTAAGTCTGGAAATGGAGGCCATTTACGAAGAATTTCTGAAGCAAAAAAAACTAGTAAATAAGATTTTTTTTTTAGACTGGAAAATTCTTACCTGACAATACCATGTCCATATATTTCATTTCTTGTAAACTCTCATAAGTAACTCTGCCATTTTTGGCAACTTGCATCACTTCTTCACGAAGCCTGTCTTGGATATCTTTGTTCACTGCCAACTCGTAACAGCCAAATGACATAGCAGATGCCGCTGTATCAAAACCAGCAAAGAAAAAGATTAGTGCTTGAGAAGTAATATCGGTATTGCTGATTTCCACTATACGTTTTGGGTTGACATCTGATTGATTTTTTCTTGCTTCTAATAAAAGATGAATCAAATCTTGTCTGACAATTTGATTTTCCTCGCGCGCTTTGATGGTGTCATTGACTACTTCATGGAAATATTCAGCAGCAGTTGGATTTAGAAATTTGATTCCTAAATACTTATATAATAAATTAATAAATATTTATTTTTGTTTGTGTAATGTGGAACTTACCTTGCAAATTTTTGGCATTGTTGGCAGTAAAACAAATTTAATGAGATTTAGAATACCTCTTAAATTTGTAAGTTTCTGCCCCATTGAATAAAATGTATTGTTTGGTTCGTTTAGTGAATCTACTTTTACACCAAACGCTGTAGTTGCTATCACATCATTTGTATATCTTGTGAAAACTTTTTTAATGTCTAGCTCGATTACATCTTCATTTCTGGCATTAAAATGTTCAATAAAATCTATAGCAGCTTCAGTCATAAGCTTGTACATTGTCTTGATTTTGCTTGAAGTGAAAATCGGACTGAGTAACTGTCGCAAATCTCTCCATCTTTCACCTTTCGAGGCTAAAAGATTTCTACTCCATAACAAATCTAGCTCAGGTTTTACAAAATCCCTATGGTCGGTAAAGTGACCGAAATCTTGTATGGCAATTTGTTTGATTATTTCTGGATCTTTGATGATCAACATGGGCTGTGAAAATTTATACCAACCAATAAATCTAAAAATTGTTTTAAATTATTGTTATTATTATTGTTATTGAATATTACCTTTCATTGGGGTATAAATCGTAGACAGACTGTAGAAAATGAGGCATGCCTATCCGGCCTAAAGTCATATCCAACATGTCCCCTATAAGAGGCAATGGTTTCGTTTGAGGTATACCCTGATCGGACCAATAAGTAAAAGGTTTTTTAAGGTAGTACCATATTAGTGTTAGCACCAAAATTGCACTAATGATATAAAATAACATTTTTGATCTGGAAAATTAATAATAATTTGAATTATTAATTATTGAAGGGAATGTATAGGGTAGGTATATTCGAAATTTTTAGAAAAAGTGGGTATTATTCTATAATAAATAGGTACTTACCGAAAAGTTTCTGAGTGAAATTGATATCTATCTTAATAATGTCGCACTAATTCACAAACTGAAATATTCAAGTATTGACCCTTACTACTTATATACTTTTCGACAATATTCCTAATGTTTTCAAATTGCCAAAATACAGTCAACGATAACGTTATAATTAGAATAAAAAAGATAAAATTGATAATAATTAGTGTACAAATGACTATAATAAATTAGTATGTCCAACATTTAAAATTTGTTGAAAATAATTATTGTTTATTATTGATTTTTCATAATAATTATGGATTATCATTAGACGATTTCATGGCAATAAAAACATGCAATGAAATCGAAAAATTTAACGCGTTTTTCGCTTAATTTCTTATGGAAGTTACGAGGGGTAAACTACCTTGAAAAATATGTGGACCAGAATCCCATTTTTAATGGAATCCTACTGGAATTCCATTGAAAATGAATGACATTTTCTGCAAAAATCACTTGTGCAAAATACTTCTAATGATCACAGTAACTTGAAACTTTCAGGATTTATAAATTGAAGTTTCCCCTTTCCCCTTTATGGAAAAGTTAATATGAAATTGATTTGAAGTTCTAAACTAAATTTGAAAGCTTTTTCTTACGTTAATGCATGCAAAAATGATTAAAATTACTTGTGCAAAGTACCTAAGTACTTCTAGTGATCACAGTGACTTGAAATTTTCAGGATATATGAATTGAAGTTTCCTATTTGTGGAAAAGTTAATTTGAAGTTGATTTGAAGCTCCAAACCAAATTTGGGAGCTTTGTCTCCCATTAATGCATACAAAAATGATTAAAATCTGCAAAAATTACTTGAGCAAAGTACTTTCAATGATCGCAGTGACTTGAAATTTCCAGGATTTATGAATTGAAGTTTCCACTTTATGGAAAAGTTGATTTGAAGCTTCAAACAAAATTTGGAAACTTTATCTCATATTATTGCATATAAAAATCATTAAAATCTGCGAAGATCACTTGTGCAAAGTAGGTACTTCTAATGATCTCAGCGACTTGAGTACTTATGAAAAATTCTGACCTGAAAATGAATTAAATTTTGAACTGATGAGTAATGAAGTACATTCCATCAGAGTTTCTGTAGAAATATTGAGATTAAGAGCCTATATATGCAATAACTTAACTATCATTTCTCAGACCAATTTGAAAATTACCATTTTCTTTAAGAAAAATTTACTTTGCTTTTGAAAAGCTCAAAACTCGTTGGACTTTTATAACCAGGCGGCTGCTATTAGAACCCTCATGCCTCAATACAAACAAAAACACAACTGGTATAAAATTGTCTGACGCCACCACCAAACCTAAATTGTCATTATTGCTGTAAATTCAAGCCATGACTGAATCTGGAGAAGTAGCCCTATTACAAGGTAAATCCAAAAGCACAACTAAACAAGATCCAAATTCCTTATTTGTAGCCATTAAAGAATCCTTACAAAAAGATGGCACTTTGGGTAGGCTCAAAGGTGAAATACGTGCAGCTGTAATGAATGTTTTAAATAAGAACGATAGAGGAGATGCTCCTAAAATCCCAGAAGAAACGCGTCTCATAAACGAACTGATTCGGGAATATCTTGCTTGGAATGGGTATCTTTATAGTGAAGAAGTTTTAACAGCAGGTTGATTGTTTACCATACATTTTTTTTTGTAATAAACCTATAATACTTTTAGAATCTTGCCAAAACGGAGAAAGGCTTAGCCGAGACGTATTGACAACAAAATTGGGGGTATTGGATGATGGAAAAACAGCCAAAATTCCTTTACTGTATTATATTGTTTCTGCTTTTCAATTGAATGAGGAAAATGAATAAAACAGCTTAGTTGATCAACAAATTTTACTAACTATACATCTATAATCTAATTAAAATTAAATACCTAAAAATTAATTGACTAGATCAGATAATATTCAAATTTTGAGATCTTATGATAATTTAGGCCCGTGACTCTTTTGATACAATAAAAACCAACAACTATTATCACACAGGGAAAGATTTTTCCAGAATTTTCTCCTCATGAGAAAATGTTTTTGTGATCAAAATTATTGCCATATAAGAATGTGTGTATAGATATGAAAATTTCTATCAATGTTTGTGCATCAACATTTCACTTTTTTCTCGAAAGCTCTTGCTACAAACATGACAACTAAACAAATTACTACCGATATTGTGTTGTCTTTTTTTGTGTTGAGTCAAACCGTGCTTGGCCCCAAACTTCCTGAAACAAATATCGCAAAAATACTTTTTATTTTTATTCGATTTGGGTGTTGTAATGCTGGACTTTTCCAATGGTTTGTCTTCTTTGCAAAAAGGCTGCACTTTTTCACTGGTGAACTGGTGAGATCTAAAACTGATTTTTTTTCACAAACTGTGTATTGGAATTATTGTGCTTACTTTAAATGTGTCATTAAAGTACGCTTTTGAAGAAACTCCTTATGGCAAGTGGTACAAACCAGAGGTTCTTTTCCGTGGAGTCTTTCGTGATTGTCCAGTTCGAATTTTCTGGTAAAAGTAGCTCCACATTCTCCACAAACAAACGACGTTAAAGATCCGTGAAATCTCAAATGCATTACCTGATAATAAGTTTATTAGTGTTATGTGAAATTTCAATATTTTGGTACTTACTAGATGATTTTCCTGTGCGAAAGTATCTCCACAGTCGTTGCACACAAAAGGCCTTTCTCCTCTATGGTATTTTTCATGTGTGATTAATTGTTTTTTCAATGGGAAGCTTTTGCCGCACTCTCCACATAAAAATGGTTTGTCTCTTTTGTGAACCTGAAGTAAATAGAGCAAATATTTTTATAGCTACCTTGATACAAAAATCTAAATCATAAGGTAGCTAAAGTACCTACTATAAGATGATGAAATTTCAAATTTTTTTATGTTGAGATTTTGTGTTAGAATGATCATTTAGGACCTTCCAATCTCAATACACTAAATTATTCTAAGATTTGAAGCCGAAATCTATGAAAAAAGGCACTCAGAAAAATTGATAATTTACCCCAAAGTGCTTAACGTGATTTTGTTTCAGAAACTATAGGTTCAAATGAGCTGAAATTTTCAGGTATTGTAGTCCTCTAATAAGATAAGAATCGCTGAAAATTTCAGCATTTCAACTATAATAGAGGAAAAATTATGATCTTCCAAAGTTATTAAAAATCCAAATCATGAGGTAGCTACCTTAGTACCAAAATGATGAAATTTTAAATTTGTTTGTGTTGAGATTTTGTGTCCTAATGATCATTGGGGATCCCCCAAACTACATACACTAAATTATTTTGAGATTTGAAGCCGAAATCTATGAAAAAAGGCACTCAGAAAAATTGAAAAATTGATAAATCACCCCAAATTGCTTAACATGATTTTATCTCAGGAACTATAAGTGCAAATGAGCTGAAATTTTTAGGGATTGTCTTCCTTTGAAAAAGATAAAATTCAGTGAAAGATTCAGGAAAATTGGTAACTTACTCCAAATTGCTTAACGCAATTTTATTTCAGAAACTATAAGTCCAAATGAGCTGAAAATTTTCAGAAATTGAGGTCCTCTAATAGAATAAGAATCGCTGGAAATATCAGCTTTTTATCTCTTATAGAAAAAAAGCGCTGATCTTTCAAAGTTTTCAAAAATCCAAATCATAAGGCAGCTACCTTAGTAGGTACGTACTAAGTAAAATGATGAAATTTCAAGTTTTTTTATATTGAGATTTGTGTCTAAACAGTCACTGGGGACCCCGCAATTTCTATACACTAAATTATCCTGAAATTTGAAGCCAAAATCTATGAAAAAGGGCACTCAGAAAATTGAAAAATTGATAATTTACCCCAAATTGCTTAACGCAATTTTATTTCAGAAACTATAAGTCCAAATGAGCTGGGGGATTGTAGTCTTCTGATAGAATAAGACTCGCTGGAAATTTCAGCTATCTATCCCTAATAGAAAAAAAGTTATGATCTTTTAAAGTTTTCAAAAATCCAAATCATAAGGCAGCTACCTTAGTACTGAAATGATCAAATTTCAAATCTTTTACGTTGAGATTTTGTGTTTAAATGATCATTGGGGACCCCCAAGGGGTGTGACAGTTCACTAATATCCTGTACACTCCTCGGTACACTCATTGGATGATCCTGGATAAACCATACAAATATCATAAATCTTAAACTAATCAACTAATATCTAATAATATGGTATAATATCTGGTAATATCGGATAATACACTACAAATACTGCAATTTTTATAATGCGATAATTCCGATATAATACCAACTAATGCTTACTGATCCATATAAATCTGACAAATACGTAGTAAGTAAATGAATCAACCAAAAAGGCCACTTTCACATTTGATCAAATTATTATTATGGCTATGGTCCAAATACAACCAAATGTTAACCAAAGTAACCGAATCGGTTGACAGATGGTTACTGAAAATTCTGGTTAGTTGAGGAACACAAATATGAGATAAAAAATAATTGACAGAAATTACAGATAAAATCAACAGAACCGACATCCGATGGCCGGTAACTATTTTGACATTTGGTTAACCAGATTTAAGGAAACCAAAGTCTAAAAGTAACCACTTTGCCAGGAACCAGAATAATTTGATTATATTCGGACCGCGGAACCACAACCCTGATTATATTCGGACCACAGCCTATGTTAGGCATTCTAATAATTTCTATTTTCTTATTTTGATTCAAATACTGTTGAAAACGCACCTATTACATACTATTAAACTCAATGCAGTGGGCCTATAAAATTCAACTCCTAAGCTGTTACCTCATATAACATTTATTATTAATCAATGCCTAGTTTCTAATACATTTCCTCAATGTTGGAACCTTATACCAGTCCCTAAGGTTTCAAATCCCACTGAGCTGTCCTATTTTCGGCCAATCAGTACCTATTCTTCCTTGTATGTTGAAAATTTTTAAAAAAATTGTGGACATAGAGTTTGGAAATTTTATATCGAAGCATAACATCTTGCCCATAATGCAATCTGGCTTTAGGAGAAACCATAATACTAATATTGTTCTCTTAAATGTCACAGATGATATTTTTGGGGCTACTGACCAAGGTCGGAATACATGCTTTATTCTATTGGATTATAGTTTTAAATAACTACTATTATTTATAATACCAAACTAATACCAAGTAATACCAAGTAATACCTGGAAATACTAGGTATACCAATGGCGAGTTTTCTATTGAGAACAGAGAATTTACCAAGAATATTCTTTGGCCTTAAATTCTCGAGAATTTATGATTTTTTTAGGTTCAAGAATTTATGAGAATATAGGGTAGTTTTTGAGAATTTATAGGAAGTTACTTGTGATTTTTAAATTTATCTATAGGTTCGTAGTGAAGTTAGGTTGAAATGAAAAACGGAAAACTGATGCTGGGTTCGGTTATTGCATCTGCGAACAAAATGAGCAAAATTTGACAGATGTCACATTATTTGACACGTGTAAAAAGATGTGATCATGTGATGTCCGTCAAAATTTGCACTTTTTGCCTCCTAATATATCCGGTAAATCCCCCAATTCCATAGGCGTTTTCTATTGGTAGATTAGCTTTAATGCGCACTGGTGCCACTGAGTACTGAGTGTATGTCCACCACCTTTTTCTCCCAGCATGTTGAAAAAATAGATAGAAACACATTTTCCTCAAAATTTTCGAATGTAATACCACAAGAGGTTTCAGGATTACCGGATAATACAGCAACACCACGACTCCGAAGGAGGAGTGATGTTGCTGGTAACGCGTTGAGTGTCAGGTAAAAGTATTAGGTAATCCTGAAACATCGAGTGGTATTCAAAAGGTTATACAACGAACTAAACTTCAATACTTTATTAATTTTTATTGGCAAATGAACAATATTGCCACCAAGCGCGATAATCCCAAAAGGCTTATCACTTTTTAAGCCTCTCGTGTCATATGGGAATAACGTACAGTGAGTTGTATAATGTTTGCAACACAACCGCAAAAGCCATAAGTTATTTCCATATTTCATTGTCTCCGCACTGTGCAGAGTGTATTACTATGCGAAAACATATTTAACTTATTTAATATTAGTTCTGACTAGTTCTTAGGAAATTCCTTCGAAAATCAACCTAGAGGTTGGATATGGAAATATTTCAGAATAAATAAGGACAACAAATTTCAATGTAAATTTTGTGATTTTGTGTACCAAAAAAAATGCAACTAGACAAACAAAACATATCTTAAAATGTTTAAAACCCCACATGATGTTGGAAAGTTATATTCTTTGAAATTCTCCAAAATTCCCCAATGTTCCCGAATATTCTCCGAGAAAATTCTCTCAAAATAAATTCTCAAGAATTTGCCATCTCTAATTGGAATAAACAGAGGGACTTGGCTTAAAAATCCTAATTTTATAAACAAAATCTCCAAAAAATGGACAGGGCAATTTTTTAATATGAACAGATTAGATATCTATCACTTTTTTCCAAACCTTTTTCATTCGTAATTCAGAAAGTATCAGAGTTGTAATTCAGAAAATCTCAATGTAAATTCAAGAAACCCTATTCATTTAATTATTTACAATTCAGAAACCCTGTATCTATATGTATATACATAATCTATATGTGGTACATAATCTATACCGGGTGGGGCACGAAAAACTTTCCACCCAGACTTTCTCAGGTATTAGGTGTTTAATCAAAAATCGCTCAGACAAGTCAATTTTTGTTTTTTGGGGGACACATTTTATTGGTATTTTCACCCCCTACCTGTGAACCCCTAAGTGGGGGTGTAACAGGTACCCTCAAAATTTCAAATGAAAAGAGGGTTCGACTGAGTTAGGATAAATGCTTTTTTTTCGATTATTCCACTCATGTGTTAGAAATCCCATAAGACAAGTGACGATTTTCAGAATTACAGCGAAAATTCTCTTTTCCATTTGTTTAACTAGAGAGAATTTCAGCGATAATTCTCCCATGTTATTGTATACATGGTTGTCATGCTAATTTTTGATACAAACAAACGGTTCCTGATAGCAACCATTTATTTGTATTGATTGTTAAGATGTTCAAATCGTTTAATACATATTTATTTCCATATTTTTTGCATTCTCATGCGTGGAATAATCCTCTAAATACCACTTGCGCTTTAAAATGAATCAGATAATTTTTCACTCATGCGTGTTTTCTCTGCAAATTTCACTCGTCCTACGGACTCTTGAAATTATAGAAAAGACGCAATCATGAAAAATTATCGGTAATTTTGAAGCTCTCGTGGTATTATCCCCGATAATCTAAGCTGTATAGTTTTTACCTGTCACACCTATGCATAGGTAAGTAACAGATAAAAACCACATAGCATTTTTCCATTGATTTTTCCTAACTTTGACAAGCCGCCATTTCGATAGGGTGAATAGTAGCAACTTGAAACTTCGGGGATATAATCTTAATGAAAATAGCTATCAAATGACGCATCACTCGACCCCCCTTTTTATTTGAAATTTTGTGGGTACCTGTCACCCCCACTTAGGGGTTCACAGGTAGGAGCTGAAAATACCAATAAAATGTGTCCCCCAAAAAACAAAAATTGATGTGTCTGAGCGATTTTTGATTAAACGCCTAACACCTGAGAAAACCTGGGTGGAAAGTTTTTCGTGCCCCACCCGGTATGTATGTAGGTACAGGGTGATCTATTATAAATGTCACCCCCTGCTAACTTTTTTATTTGACGTTTTTGACAGAAGTGTCAAATACAAAAGTTTTAAGAAATTGTCAAAAGTTTTCAACTAAGTCAGTTTCAGGCATACAGGGTGCGTGAAAAAAGTGCAGCAGTGTGAAGTTATATTTTTTTAAATAGAACACCCTGTATATTATGCGCTTATTTGTTAGTCCTATTCAACCTGATTTCAACGGTAGGTATATGATTTGATATGTTTATCTCTCGATTTATCTCCAATAGTTTTTTTTGAAAATGTTTATTAATAAGTAAGCAATAATTGTTATTTTCCTACAATTCACATTAAATCCTTTAAACAGTGTATGTCAAATGAAAAAGTTAGAAGGGGGTGACATTTATAATAGATCACCCTGTACATACATATACAGGGAGTCCCATAAGTAACAGTCCAAAGTGAAAGGGGTGATAGAGGAAGTCGAGGAGGAGGTCGTTTGAAAATCTCTAATACTTTTTTTTCTACTCTACTTGCAATTCGAATATCTTGAAAACCGTGAACAATTGTATAGTAACATATAGGACTTTTTTTGTAGGCAATGACCTTCTCTATCACCCCTTTCAGTTAGGACTGTGACTTATGGAACACCCTGTATATATAAGTGTTTTAAACCTATGATCAAAAAAATCTGTTTATCTAGGTATGTAGAATTATAAAACTGTTATCTGAATCATATCTGATGTTATCTGACTTACAATTATTGGGTTTTTCTGAATTACAAATTGAAGTTTTCTGAAATACATTTGTGTTTTTCTGAATTACAATAATTGAGAAAAATGTAGTGAGAGCTAAATAGTGACCACATTCATTTTAGGTATTAATAAATGAAAATGGCTGATTTGAACACTTCTACTCACTCAGTAGTTAGACTTACATTGATATGGCTCATCAAATGATGTTTCAAAGTAAACCTCTTATGGCACTCGGTGCACTGATGAGGCCTCTCATTGCTGTGCAGCAACAAATGAGTATTCAAACAATACTTGTGTGTGAAGCTTTTCCCACAATGAACGCATACGTGAGGCCTCTCTCCAGTGTGAGTCTTTTCATGTGTCGTTAAGTGATGTTTTAGCAAAAATGTCTTATTGCAAGCAGGTCTGAGACATTTATAAGGCCGCTCTTCACTTTTGAGCTTATTTTTTATGAGAGTTTGAGGCTCTAGCTCTACTTCTATGGTGTCAGTTGTGTGGACAAACTTGAGAAATCGTTCATCAGCATTGTCGGTTTCCTTGCACTCGCAGCCAAGTTTTGTGCAAGGTGCACTAGGAGAGTGACCGAATATTGGAGGATCTTGTTTCGGGTTTATAAGACACATTGCTGATTGATAATACAGTTTTGCTTTGGGGTCTAATGTCGATTCTGCATCTGTTTGTGCTATATAATGGCTAGTCAAATCCCAATAGTTTAGTGGAGGATGTTGATTAACATTCATATTTATAATTTAAAGAAAAACTAATAAGGTATCATCGATTAAATAATTATACTAAATTAACATTTTTCAAACACAAAGCACAACAATGGATTTTAATTGTTTTCTTTTTAATCAATGAACTCATAGTAGGATCAGCTGTTAGTATTGTGTATTAAATGGTTTGTTTGCAGTTTTCTACTGCTTTGATTTGTAGTGGCATCTAGCGGCTAAAACCTACTTTCTGAATATATCCGATTCCTTATTTATTGATAATCAAAATTCAAATATTATTAGGGGACAATAATGTACTTTTATTCAACAATCACAGTTTGAAAAATTTGGCAAATAATAAATTAACATCTTAGACCTTAAACAAAAACATACTTTATTCTAATCTAAAACCAACGTCGCGGTCTCCGGAACAACCTTTTTTCCTTCTCGTCATCTACACACTCTACAGCTGCCAAATTGAAATAAATATTTCCCAAAATGTTAGCAATTGGAATGCTTTGCTGAGCCTTGAGGCAATTGTAGAGTTGCTCGTCGCATATGCAATGCGATTTCGTGTAAATCGAGTTGTTTCTCAGTTGGTACTTTTTTGAGCGCGATCTGACTTTGACCGGGCACAGATCATGGGTCCTACAGCAAATGTCCACGGTGGGTTCTGAGCCGAGGTCGTGGTAGTTTTTGGCTATGTCTCCAGTACCACACCATTTGGTTCCTAGAAAATAATTTCATAGTTGAATTATAAAGTCCAAATGAGTTGAAATTCTTAGGGATTATAGTCCTGTACTAGGATAAGAACTACTAAAAATTTCAGCTTTCTATCTATAATAGAAAAAAAGCTATGATTTTTCAGTTTTAAAAAATCCAAATCAGAAAGTTGTGTGCACTCTAGTAGGTACTGCACTGTGTTGTGTTTATTTTTGTTGACAAAATGGCGGATATCTTTGTTGTTTAGAAGTTTCGTGTTCTTCTGACTCTATTCTGAGTCCTAGTTCTGAGCTCGTTTTTAAAAAGATTCCTAGTGACCGTATTAATTGAAAATTTGTGGTAAAAATGAGTCTATTGAAAATCAAAATCAAATCAAATCATTTATCCGACACCTGCTAGTTATAAGAGTCAATATTTGCGCCAGTTTAGGCAGGTAAACTATCAAATAACACACTAGTGTGTTATAAACCATAACTTATCAGTGGGTTATGGTTTATAACTCACTCCCTTAAGGGCCCCATACACTTCGATGAAACACGACGGTTTTCACCGCCACGATGAAATACGTCGTTCCAAAACCGAAGTGTGTGGTAGAAAACCGTTCGTGTATACGAAATGTTGAACCGTCGTGCCAAAAATCAAGCTCGGACTGAATTTTAAACCGACGATGAAACACGACGGTTTTCTACCACACACTTCGGTTTTGGAACGACGTGTTTCATCGTGGCTATGAAAACCGTCGTGTTTTATCGTAGTGTATGGGGCCCTTTATAACGTTAACGCATACGTCATGAAATTAAAATTTATAAATCCTGCTTTTAGTGCAGGACCAATAGACAAATGCAAGGAGATAATTTTTAACAAGCTGCAATATTTTTTACAGATAGTTCAAATCAATGTTACTAACATATTAAGAGTCCCAAAGTCTCCCACTCCGGGAACTCTGTAAAATCTTGACCGCCATCTTGGTTTTTCCAGTTATTTGTAAATAACTCGTTAACGGTGAATTTTTTTGTGTGTAGGATACTTTTTTATAGAGAATTAAAAAACACACATTTTGGTTTTTGATTCGTTTCAATAGGATAAATAACAAAAAAGTTATGGCGATAAAACGGATTGAAAATTTCAATTTTTCAGATTTTTCAATTAAAATCACTAATCATGCTTTTTCAACCCTTGCATTGGTTAAATTTGTTATTCCGAGAAACAAATAGAGGTGTTCATAAACATTTGGGTCTTACAGTCCGTCCTGACTTGACGTATTATATCGTCAGTTTATCTAAAAATAATAGGATACCTATTAGCAATACGTGCTCAACTTTCTAATTTATTTTCATATTTCGATTGACATTTCGGTACAATCTTCCATATCCTCCATCTTTTAAGCACCCTCTATCGCAAAGAGTTTTGCAATTGCAAAATATCTGCTTTAAGATGTCGTTGGGGACTGAAAGTACCTACACCCTCGAAATATGCTCTCTAGCTGCTTTTTCGGTAGGTGGTAGTACAGGGGCGAGTTCAGGAATGACACACCCAGTGTGAGTGTGACACCGGTGCGACGCCCTAGCTGTTCAAAAATGCTAGACGGTAAAATCCGCACTCGCACCCTGTGCGTTATTTCTGAACTCGGCCCAGCTAAGTCAAAATTTGCACCAAGTTTTTGCCTGCTTGTTACTTTAGTATACATAATATACCGGTAGGTAGTCATTCAATTTCTGCACTTTCTTAGCTCCATACCATTTCAAAATGCATTCAGAGCCAATTTCAAATAGATCATTTTTCAGTGCATCTTGATCTTGGAATAAGTAAACTTTATGACAGAGCAAATCATCTTCTTTAAATACAGACAAACTGCTTTTTTGACTTCTTGAAAAGAAAAGAGGTACCTAGTGTCGCAACCTAATATTGCATATAAAAATAAAATTGAAGATTTTATGTTATGACCTAACTGTTGGTGTAATGTACTTATTTGCGTTACTTTATCTGCCTTGGCCCCTTTTCCAGGTCTCATTAAATAAATGTTTGATGTTTTGGTATGGTACATACAACAATAAAATACCGACATCGGTATCTGCAGAAACAACTGTAATGGTATTATAAAATTCACTCTGAGTAACTGCTGTTAGAAATATATCATCTTCAGCATCTCTTTGGGCTTGCTGAACTACGAATCCTGGCCCTTAGTAAATATTCCTTTAAGATGCTAATGAAACTTTGTTTTTATTGTTTTTTAAAAAGTCTGCTTGGGAGATGGCAACAATTAAATCTGGAGTTACTGACACTTCTACACTTTCCTGAGATCTAAATTGTTGTATAGCGTCTTTTGTTATAATGTCACTGTCATAACCATCAAAAACAATAAAACATTTCTGTGTATGACAATGCAGTACAAAATTAACATATTTAAGAATATTTCATGGTAGGTTGCAGGTTTTTGCCAGACTACTCTATGTAGGAATAATCCTCCATCAATTACACAAATAGTTTTGGAAGAGAAAAAAAAATCTTCACATCAGAATTGACTTAAATTTGGCATAAACATTATTTGTAGAACAGCTCAGAATTTTGTTTGCAAGAGTTAAAAAAGCATTATTAGTGATTTTAATTGAAAAATCTGAAAAATAAAAATTTTCGATTCAAGTTTTATTGCCATAACTTTTTTATTATCTACGCTATCGAAACAATTAAAAAACTCAAATGTGTGTTTTTTAATTTTCTATAAAAAAGTATTCCATATTTTTTCCAAAAAAAATCATTGTTAACGAGTTATTTACAAATAACTGAAAAAACCAAGATGGCAGCCAAGATTTTTCAGGGTTCCCGGAATGGGAGACTTTGGGACTTTTAGTATGTTAATAAGGATGGTTTCAACTACCTGTAAAAAAAATTGTACCTTGTTAAAAATTATTTCCTTTCTCGAGGAAAAATTTGTTTATTGGTCCTGGGCTATTTAAAGAAGAATCATTTCCAAAGAATACCTGTTAGTTTTTTCAGTTTTTGTATGCTGCTCGTGTGTTCTGATTTCTATCAGTTGTTGGATAAAACTTTGTATGCCACTCGTGTGTTATGTTTTATAAGTCACTCGAGAAATTATACCACTCGGCCTGACGGCCTCGTGGTATAAATTTTTTTCGCGTGACTTATCTTCAACATAACACACTAGTACCATAAATAACTATTATTTAACATGTCAAATTACACAACGTGTTTACATGCGTCAAATTATCACAACGCTACAACCACAAACAGGTATTGGGGATTCAAAAATTTAAAACTTAAAGTCTAAAACAGACAGCTGCACTACAATGGTTACCCACTTTACAATTTTATCACACAAGATGTACACAAGTTTAAAACAGATCAACAAATAAGAGAACAACAAAGTAAAAAGAAAACAAATACACCCTAAAATAGTTTTCTATCAATGAAACTTTAACGTTGTGTTTTTACCAAATTGTTAAGACAATTTTATTTGGTGAACCCTTTCGAGAAACCAACATCCTCTTCCTCAACAAGCTCCAAATAGGTCAATGAATATTTTTTTTAAATAATTTTATTAGGTAGATATCCCTTTTTGGTATTTGAAATTGTATAGACCTTGGTATAGACTAGGCCCGGTTTATTCATCAACTCTTTAAGTTTTTGTTCAATTTCTATTTACAATCCCACTCAGGTACTATTAATTACCTACTGTAATTCTTATAGGAGCCACAAGGGAAAAATTTATAATTCATAACATTTATAGGTAATTCCAACTTGATCCAGAATTAAAACTCGAAATTAGTAATAAGTACGTAATTCTGAGTTTACTTCTCAAAATTACAACCCAAGTTGACGTCATTTTGACGACTTTTTTTCGTCATTTTTTGTGAGATAAGACGTTATTTTTACCTTTCAAATAACGTTTAGAAGACGATATTATCTACGTGATTATAGGTCTGTTCTCACAGAAATCACAAACCGGTCAGAGCGTTTTTGATTGGTGCCAATCGCCAACAACCAGTTTTCTGACTATTTTCAATCAGTGAAAGTATCTCTGACTGGTTTGTACGTGATTTGATGACATTAAAATAGGTACGTGATTTTATGACTTGAAAAAGACGTAGTAAAAAGGATTACGTCAATAATACGTCAACTATGTATTATCCACTTGAAATATCGTACAATTGACGTCTCGATATAAATATGTCAGTTTGATCAGCGTCTCCAGTAAGGTTAAATCACCCCAAATTGCTTAACGCATATTTCTGGAACTATGTCCAAATGAGCTTTCTATCTCTAATAGAAAAAAAGTTATGATTTTTTCTGATATGACATAATTTACTAACCTCAATAATTTTTGACGCTCGTTTTTATTAAGAGCGGCGTCAGATAAGAGCCAGCGTGCCATCTTTTGGGCTTCATGACATACATGAAATATTTTTTAATCACAGGTGTGCAAATTCCCTGTAAGTGATTGACTTATTGACAAGTAGATGGCGACATCTTCAATATCAATTCGTTTACACAGTAATATACAGTAGACTAAATAATTTTATTCAGATGCAAATGAAATATTAGTATTTCACATTATTAGCTAGGTAAAACAGTTTTTACTAGCGTTTGAAAGAAGTGACTATGCTTCCCGAATTCAGCAACATCTTTAGGAGAAGCTCTGAACACACGTTTGGTTTGAATCTCTGCCGAAAATGACAGTAATCACCTCCTTATTTGGCAGATTTTGATTAATTTTAGAATAAAAACATCATAAATTTACGGAAATTCTGTTCTTTCCATTTATTCCAGCATTTTATGATCCGAAATTTTAGAAATTTATTGTTGTTGTGCTACTCTATGTTTTTATTCATTTTTTATTGAAATCCGTGACCAAAATTTGCATACTGTTGTCAATAAAATTGGTAATAATTTTACTATTTAGACTGCGTACTTTGCAACCAAAAATGCTTCGATCCATACTCCAATCTGTTATTGGAATTGAACAGAAATTTGTGAAGGTCTGTAAATGAC